TGAGCCAACCTCACTTAGGTTTAGTCTATAAAAAGCAATCGGGAGGATGAAGCAAGGCAAGCTGGACTAACTGGCGCCTCTGAAAGAAGACAAGACGTAACTAAAGCACCAGTTTATCCTTGAGAATCTCAGTAGATAGTTAATTGATTATTAAGCTTCACTAATAGATACTGTAAAGCTACAATCAGTGTTACTAGAATAATTATTTTCTATAAGAGAAGTCTAAGGTGACACAGAACAGCTCAAAGAGCATTTCTTCAGCTTTTAAAAATCACTTGGATAAACCTAACAATGAAGATTTAAGAGCCAGGCATGGTGGCTCATGCCTGTAATCCTAGTGACTCGGGAGGCTGAGGAAGGAGGATTGCTTAAGGCCAGGAGTTTGAGACCAGCCTGGGCAACAGACCAGTGAGATCTCTGTCACTAAAAAAGTAAAAAAACTAGCCAGGCATGGTAGCACAAGCCTGTAGTCCCAGCTACGTGGGAGGCTGAAATGGGATCACTTGAGCCAGTCTGGACAACAAAGCAAGATTCTGTCTCTAAAAAACAATTAAAATAAATAAAATAAATAAATAAGGATTTAAGACCTTTAGCATGACCATTCACATTTATGTTGTTCAAAGCACTTTACATTCAAGTTGCTAGACAGATCACAAGTATCTCTTTACTGCTATGCCCTTCATGCTAAATGACTGACTAAAAGAAGAAAAAGGCCAGGGGAAAGAATTCTGATTTTTAATTACCTCTGAATACCAGATTCTTTGAATAATCTATTTACTGGCATGAGAAAAGGTTTTAAATTCTGATCCCAGATTTCTTCATATAGTTAAATGGCATAAAATCTTTACTACCTTCAAAGAATATGAGGCATCAATTAATTGTGAAATGCTTTGAAAATAATGAATGAAATCAAAACCTTGCTACCCTAAAGGAATGCTATTAATTTTCGTTACTTTCAGAAAACAATAAAGAAAACACATTAATCTCAGTGAAAACAGATGTGTTACTATAGAGCTATCTTTGAAGTAATCATATTAAGACCTCATTGACTAATCAATTCTACAGTCTAAGGTATGGCAA